GACAATTCATTGAAAATTAGTGACCTCTAGAAAAACGACTATGTTCGGCATTCAATAGACAGTTATTTGTGGCCAACAAACTAATATAATTAAATGAAAATAGCAGATCGGGCAGACGGAAAACAAAAGCGAGCCTCCCAGCCCCGGCTTCGTTCTCCGCGGGGCCGATCGTGCGCCCCGACGAGGCCCAGGCCGGGGCCCTCCCGCGCCCTCACCTTCCGAAGGCGAGTCGTCCGGGGCCGCGGCGGCAGCCACTGCGGCCGATGTCGTCGCCGTCGCCGCCGCCGCCGCCGCCGCCGCCGCCGGGGCTGGCTGGCTGGGAGCCGTCGCCGTCGAGTCCGGCTCGGCGTCGGGTTCCGGCTCCGGGTCCCGGCCCGGCGTGCTGCCCCGAGGGCCCGGCGGCGAGAGCTGCAGGATGGGCCTGCGGCCGGGTACCGCCCGGGACTTCTTCCCCATCGCGAGCCCGAGCGCGAGCCGCGAGCGTCGGGCAGCCGAGAGGGGCGGGCGCTCAGCGTCGAGATGCGTAATCAATATTCATGCGCCGCGACGCCGCCTCCGGCCTGGATCCGACTTTAACCGGCGGAGCGCGCGCCCGCGCAAGCGCCTTGGGCTCTTTGGCGCTTCTGCCTCCTCCTCCCTCGGGGCGGTGGGGGCGGGCTTACCCATGCGCCTGGCGATTGGCTAATTTGACCCAGCGAAGGACGCAGCAGCCAATGGAAAGGGAAAAAGGGGGGAGCGTCCAGCCAATCGTGCGGAAGGGCTTCAGTTTGGAAAGGCCTTCCCTTGACGTCGGGCGCCGCCCATGCGTCTTTTGCAGAGCCTTGTCTTGACTCTGTCCTCCATCTTGTGGCTGTTCCCCGCCAAATGTCGTTTGTCCTCCCGGTAGCTGTGCTGCCCTTCCAGGCCCTTCCCCGAGTTTCGCCTTGATTAGTCTGGCTTTACTTTGGGTACAACAGTAAACATTAAATAGGATAGTGGGTCTTCTACGCTTTTGTAATTTCTTAGAGCCCAAAGATGGTGTCTCGTGTTTTGTTGCTTATTAGCTGGGAAAATTCGCCAGACGTTATGCCACATTCGTGAAAAAAGCCTGAATTGTTAGGACAGGCTGCAGGAAGCTTACTGATCTGGTCCCACTGATACGCTCAGCCTGCTTTAATCTTCCTTTAACCCCGCTCCGCCCCCCCCAATCTCCCTCACCTGCTGTCAGAGCCAGTCACTTGGAGCATCACCTCTCTAACCTTTCCTTCACGCTGGCTAGAATAATTACTGCATCACTGGTGACATTATTTTAATTCCTCAAGGCGCCATGCAAAGGTGACCTGTCCTGCCGAGCCCCTCCCCAGCACCTAACACCTTTGGATACCTGTCTCCCCAATACATTGAATACCAGTGGTATTTATTTTCATATCTGCATAGGCTCAGTTCCTACAAACATATCTAACATCACTAAGCACAAATCAATTGCATGTGATTCGCACAACAGTTTTAGGGCAGATGCTATTATCCCCAGTTTACAGATGCACCCTCAAATTGGCGGTTGAGTGCAAAAGCCACCAGAGCAGTTACTTGTCTGTTTTGTTTCTCTCTATATGAAGTGCACATGCTAGAGCCGGCCGGGGTGGCTCACGCCTGTTATCCCAGCATTTAGGGAGGCAGAGGTGAGGGGATTGCCAGGGGTTCAAGAACAGCCTGGGAAAACTGGTGAGACCTTGTCTCTCAAAAATAAAAATTAAAAAAATGCACATTCTAGAACATAAGCACTAACCAGATGTTTTTAAGCGAAATACAGGAACTTGAAATTAGTAGCTAGCTAGACTTTATTCCTTTTCTTACCTATGGGTGGAGTGCCTGGATTAGGGTGTCCTGAGATTAGAGGTGCTCCAGATACCTGGAAGTTTAAAAGCTAGAAGAGAGCAGAATTTTCTGTTTTAAAGTTGTTAGTGGCCGGGCACGATGGCTCACGCATGTAATCCCAGTCACTTTGGGAGGCTGAGAGGACAGGATTGCCTGAGCCCACAGGATCGAGACCAGTGTGAGCAAAGTGGAGAGACCTCATTTCTACAATAAATAAAAAAATAGCTGGGCTCCGTGGCTCAGCCTGTAATCCCGCACCTTGGGAGGTTGAGGTGAGTGGATTGCCTGAGCCCAAGGGTTCGAGACCAGCCTGGGCAACTTGGTGAGACTTCATCTCTACAAAAAAAAAAAAAAAATTTAGCCGAGTGTGGTAGCGCATGCCTGTAATTCCGGCTACTTGGAAGGCTGAGGTGGAAGGATAGCCGGAGCCCAGCAGGTCGAGGCTGCGGTGGCCGGGAGCAGCCACTGCACTCCAGTCTGGGAGACAGAGTGAGACTCCAACTCAAAAAAAAAAAGAATATGTGATGGACCATATGTAGTTTACAAAGCCTAAACTATTTACCCTCTGGCTCTTTCCAGAATAAGTTTGCTTATGTCAGGGTTCTGAGTAGATAAACATGTTCAAGGTCATTGAAGAAAAATCTTTGAATTTCAGGATCACAAGGGAATTACTCAGGGGTTTTTTTTTTTTTTTTGGTTGTCATGACAATGATGTTGTTTTAATAAAATAAAATTATTAGGGCTGACATTTGTTTATTTTATTTTATTTTTTTATTTTTTGAGTTGGAGGCTCAGTCTGTCGCCCAGACTGGAGTGTAGTGGCCGCTCCCGGCCACCGCAGCCTCAACCTGCTGGGCTCCAGCGATCCTTCCGCCTCAGCCTTCCAAGTAGTTGGAACTACAGGCGCGCGCTACCACGCCCGGCTGATTTTGATTTATTGTAGAGATGAGGTCTCGCCAAGTTGCAGGCAATCCACTCACCTCGGCCTCCCAAAGTGCTGGGATTACAGGCTGAGCCACCGAGTCCAGCAGGGCTGACACTTGACAAGTGAAACCTGGAAAGAATAATTTAAATACAAATGTATTTTTCTTTTTTTTTTTGGTCAGGGTCTCACTGTCACCCAGGCTGGAGTGCAGTGGCACGCTCACGGCCACTGCAGCTTTGACCTGCTGGGCTCAGGTGATCCTTCTTCCCCAGCCTTCCAAGTAGTTGGAACTACCACCAAGCTGCCCACGCTGGTCTTGAACTTTTGGACTGGGGGAGTTCTCTCGCCTCTACCTTCCAAAGTGCTGGGATTACAGGCATGAGCCACTGCACCTGGCAAACATGTATTTTCAAATATATTTAGTCACAATCATATTTGGTGGGCAAAATACTTACTTAGTAGTTGATGTTAATTTCTTTTTTTTTTTGAGTTGGAGTCTCACTTTGTCACCGCAGCCTCGACCTGCTGGGCTCCGGCGATCCTCCCGCCTCAGCCTTCCAAGTAGCTGGAACTACAGGTGCGCGCTACCACACCCGGCTATTTTTTGGTTTATTGTAGAGATGAGGTCTCGCCAAGTTGTCCAGGCGGGTCTTGAACCCGCGGACTCAGGCAACCCTCTCACCTCAGCATCCTAAAATGCTGGGATTACAGACTGAGCCACCGAGCCCGGCTTGATGTTAATTTCAAAGGCTAACATTCCTGAATCCATTTGAAGGCTCTGGCTTTTGGAACTTGAAGAGGTGATTTTTTTTTTTTTTTTTTTGAGTTGGAGTCTCACTCTGTCACCCAGGCTGGAGTGCAGTAGCACGCTCATGGCCACCCCAGCATCCACCTGCGGGGCTCTGGTGATCCTTCTGCCTCAGCATTCCAAGTAGCTGGAACTATAGACATGCACCACCATGCCTGGCTAATTTCTGATTTATTATAGAGATGAAGTCTCGCCAAGTTGCCCGGGCTGGTCTCGAACCTGTTGTCTCAAGCAATCCTCTCACCTTGGCCTCCCAAAGTGCTGGGATTATAGGAGTGATCCACCATGTCCAGCTGTTTTATTCTTTTTAATTAATATAGATAGGGTCTTACTATGTTGCCCAGGTGGATCTCGAACTCCTGGGCTCAAGTAATCCTCCTGCCTCCGTCTCCCAAAGTGCAGGAATTACAGGTGTGAGCCACCATTCCAGGCCTACAGTTTTTTTTTGTTTTTTTGTTTTTGAGTTGGAGTCTCACTCTGTCACCCAGACTGGAGTGCAGTGGCCGCTCCTGGCCACCACAGCCTCGACCTGCTGGGCTCCGGCGATCCTTCCGCCTCAGCCTTCCGAGTTGCCGGAATTACAGGCATGCGCTACCACGCCCGGCTGATTTTTTGATTTATTGTAGAGATGAGGTCTCACTGCCCAGGTGGGTCTCGAACCCATGGGCTCAGGCAATCCACTCACCTCAGCGTCTACAGTTTTATTTATAAAGAATAATGAGCTGGGCTCGGTGGCTCAGCCTGTAATCCCACACCTTGGGAGGCTGAGGTGAGTGGACTGCCTGAGCCCGCGGGGTCGAGACCCGCCTGGGTAACTTGGCGAGACCTCATTTCTATAATAAACTGGGAAGCTCCACCATGCCTTGGTGTCCAGAGTTTATACAGGGGCTTTGTTACATAGGCATGATTGATTAAAAATTGATAGGCCATGTGATTGGCCTAGGTTGGGCTGGCCCAAAGTTCCAACTCTTGAATTTGGCCATTGGTTTTCCTGGTGACCAGTCCCAATTTTGAAGCTAGTTAGGTGCTCACCAAGATTAACCTCATTTGTATAACAAATTCCCATCACTCAGGAAATTCCAAACATTTTCGAAGCTGAGCCAGGAACTAGGGTCAAAGACCAGATGTAATCTTTATTATACCACAGTATTTCACTTTGTATGACTTGTGGAGGTTTACTTAACCATGGTCTCATTTACAGGAAGAAACCTATTTTTAGTACAGTGACTAGCATAGGTTGTTTGAACAATTTGGCTTTTTGTTGATGGAGTTCTGTGCAGACACAGATTCTTGTAGCAAGGGGTTAATGATAGTGAGTTATTTATATTAAAGTCTCTCCCTAATTTAAGGAAAAACAATTAAGAATATGTTTTTAGGAACAGACATAGCTGGAAAGAACAGTGAAGATTAAAGAAAATTTTAGAATTTTTTTTTTTGAGTTGGAGTCTCACCCTGTTGCCCAGGCTAGAGTGCAGTGGCACACTCATGGCCACCACAGCCTTGACCTGCTGTGCTCAAGTGATCCTTCTGCCTCAGCCTTCCAAGGAGCTAGAACCACAGGCATGCGCCATCATGCCCAACTATTTTTTTTTAAAATTTATTACAGAGATGCAGTCTCGCCATGTTGCTCAGACTGGTCTCAAACCCCTGAGCTCAGGTAATCATCTCACCCCTGCCTCCCAAAGTGCTGGGATTACAGGTGTGAGCCACCACACCTGGCTAATTTTAGAGCTTTTAATAATACACATCATATTGTAGTAGAAAAGAATGTAGTATGAGGTTGAGATAAATTAACTGTTATCTAGAATATCTTCACTGATAGACTTGTCCTGCCATTTGATGACTAAATAAAAATTCCATTTATGTTCACATTTACATCAGTGAGAGGAATGTTGGTACCTGCACCAAGAGAGCAGTCTGGGAACTAAGGTAGCCACTAGCAGAATCTGGGGACAGGTAAGCCCATGGTTTAAGCTTCCATCTTGTAGTGAGCTGTTAACCAACCTCTGAGTATTCAGTGTAGTTTTAGGAAACAACA